TTAATAAATTAATCTATTTATTCATCGTGATTTTCAAGCCACCAAGTCCAGGACTTGAACCATAGTCAGCCACACAGGAATCCAGCACCCTAACCACCACACCACCTGCTGGTCCCCTCGCTCAAATTAAAAAAAAAAAAAAAAAGAAAAAAAAGAATGTCTAAGATACTTGGGGTTGGGGCTAATATGTCCTTTCACTAGCAATGCTTTGATGAAAAGGGCACTTTTTTAAAAGAGATTTTTGCTATAGGGTGCATGTGCTCACCAGAGAAGGAGAGAGAGAAAGCGAGAAATCACTCCCCAGGGAGGAATGGCCATGCTGCAGTCTCATCTTTTCCATTCTCCTCTTGAAATTTTGGGCACGCATGCAACGTGCCTGACTTGAGTTTTAAGCCACCAGGTACAGGACTTGAACCGTGGTTGACTACATGGGAGTCCAGCAATGTAACCATTACACCCTCTGCTGGTCCTGAAAAGGGAACTCTTCTACACTGTTGGTGGGAATGTAAATTAGTACAACCTCTATGGAAAGCAATACAGCAGTTCCTCAAAACCTACAGACAGAACTACCTTACAACTCAGTAGTCCCACTCCTGGGCATTTACCCAGAGGATAGGAAAGCACTCAGTTTCAAAGACACTTGAACACCTATGTTTATTACAACACTATTAACAATTGCTAACAATTGGAATCAACCTAAGTGTCCAAAAACTGATGACTAAGTTGAAAGACTATAGCACATGTATACTGTAGACTGCTACTCAGCCATAGGAAACAATGAGACCCTATTGTTTGATGCAATATGGATGAACATAGAGCCATAATGCTGAGGGAAGTAAGCTAAACTTTGAAAGATGCACGCTGTATATCCACTCAATATATACTAAATTTTTGTACTTCAAGGCAGAAATTGAAAGAGCTGAAGATAGGCTAGGATAAATGTATATACTAGAGGCTGTAAGGAAGGAGAGTGGGCGGTAGAGTGTGGGTGGTAGGAATAAAGGAAAGAAACTTTTTTTAGAGAGATTTTTTGCTATAGGGCGTATGTGCTTGCCATATAGACAGAAAGCAAGAAATCACCCCTCGGGGGAGATGGCCATGCCTCGATCCTTTCTCCTCCATTCTCTTGGGATTTTGGGCGCACACACACACGAACCAGCATAAGTTTTAAGTTGCCAGGTCTGGGACTCGAACCACGGCTAACTATGTGGGAGTCCAGTGACGTAACGTTACATTACGCCATCTGCTGGTCTTAGGAAAGAAACATTTAACAGACAAAAGAATGTAAAGTTTTCTTGGTTCTTGTTGAACCAAGTCTCATTGGTTTAACTTGAACCAATGCCTGTTATTGTTATTGAGCACTCAACAGCTGAATGTGTATGTGTATATGTGTATACACATACATACATACACTATAGGACATGTGCACTCACCGGAGAGAGATAGAGAAGGAAAGTGAGAAATCATCCCCCGGGGGAGATGGCCATGCTCCATTCCCTTCTCCCCCATTCTCCTCTTGAGATTTCGAGCATGTATGCACATGTGCCCAGCGTATTTTCTAAGCTGCCAGTCTGGGACTCAAACTGTGCAGTTGTCCTTGTGGGATCCAGCTATCTTTAGCTACCATTACCACTTGGCTGCTCCTGGATATTTGTTATTTTTAAATGAATAAGAACATTAATCAGGATAGGCTATATGCTGAGCCATGAAACAGATCTTGATAAAGTTAAAAGGTTGAAATAATACAGAATAAATTCTCAGTGAAATTTAATTGGAAAGCAACAGGAAAGATCTAGGAAATCCCTAATTATTTGGAAATTAAACAATACACTTTTTTTTTTTTTTCTAGAGGGCACGCATGCTTAAAAGAGAGAGAGGAAGAAGCAAAAGCACCCCCTAGACAATGGTCATGCCACAATCTCTTTTCCATGTCCCACTCCTTTTGGGATTTTGGACATTCACGCACCCATGCCTAGT